CTCCTCTGTTGGGTCGGGTGTGAGTCGATTGTTGAAAGCCTCAGGGATTTAGAAAAAAGTTTTTGTCAATATGTGTGAAGAACTGTTTTCCTCTTATTTTCAATTTTGAAGTCTGCCACCATAGTTATTTATTTGTTTAATATGTGTTTTGTTGACCAAAAAAACACCCTAAGTAATCCTGATCTATAAATAAATATTGAACTAACCACGACCCATTTTAATTTAAACGTACGAGTTGTAAATATACATACATTAGCATAGTTGGCGAATTTTCCCCCTTTCTTTAGCTTTTTGAATATGTCCTCCATATTAAAATGATTCATTATTAATGAAGGTGGAAGTTGAAAAGAAAAAGAAAAAAATACTCAAAAGAAACAATAAAGACCTTGAATTCTCTTTTGCTTCTTTGCTTGGACAGAATGATGCAGGTCAAACCTGAACTCTTAGCTCTGAATCTGTTTGAAACTGAATGATACGAATCATAACGAACTAACATTGATCTTCATATGTCTAGGAAGATTTTGGGTATTGTGAGTGAGATTGATTTGCCTTTAGGGCTTTGTTAGAGGAAATGCAGCAATCTGATCAACCCTTTGTTTCAACTCCTCTCGTAAAGAAGACTTATGATTCTCTTACGCTGCAAGACAAAAAAAAAAAACCCAATGAATATTGGCAAGTCTTCAACATCTCACTCAGGATTCAAGAGCAACTCTTTGAGTCTCTTTCTCTACCGGTGCTTTCTCCTTGCAAAATGAGACGGTCAGACCATTGCTCTTATTGTATCTTGCTGATCAATGAATCTTCGAGTCCAAGAAGACCAACTGTACAAGAGGGAGACATGTTCTTCGGACTCAATAGAGATGGAATTGTCTAGAGCTGGAGTTGACATTAGATTCTTCCTAATTTTCTATAGAGAAAATTCGTCAAGTGCTAATGACGATCAAAATAATGTAAGAATAATGAATTGCCAAAAGCAAAGCCTCGTCTACCAGAAGTTACCACAAGAACACTCGCCATTCCGGAAATGATGAAACCTCTTCCTGTCTCTCAAGATAATGTCTCGCTGCACCACCCGCGACAAGAACATGAAAAAATTATGACAATCTCCACAAGTCCTCAAGTTCTTGAAAACCCTAATGCTTGTTCCCGGAGGAAGTTTCATTAGCCCAAACGCAACCGCAATCTTCTCACTATGTGTAGCCAACATATCCTCCTTATGACAATCAGACTCCACGTCGTGCAACACAAAGCTCGTGTCTGGTACATATCCGAGTCTTTTGATCTCCTTACCCAACTCCTGAAGATAGTTGTAAACAGCTTCTGCCTCTGGATGTGATGTATCATCCACCAGAAATGTATGCACTTGTGTCTCCACTTCAATCCAACTACAGGCCAGTTCCTTTTTTATCCCTCGATGCCGCATTAGATTACGAATCCTTGCCGCTTCCTCCCACTGGCCAGTAGCTGCGTACATGTTCGATAAGAGCATGTATGTCCCATCGTGTTCTGGTATGAGATCAAAGAGTTTGTCAGCAGCGATGATTCCTAGTTCCATGTTTCCATATACTCTGCACGCCGAAAGAAGTGCTTCCCAGATTTGTGCAGTAGGTTCAAAAGGTAACGATTTGATTATACTTTCCGCTTCAGAGAATCTCCCAGATCGACAGAGCAAATCGATCAGCCTTGCGTAATGATCTGCACCTGGAGGTATATGGTAAACAGTTTCCATCGAATCAAAGTATTTCCGTCCTTGTTCCACTAAACCTGCGTGGCTACACGCTGTCAAAACTGTAAGAAGCGTAATCCGATCAGGTCTTATCCCTTCCTTCAACATCTCCTCGTACACATCTACTGCTTCAACACCATGTCCATGCTGTCCCAAAGCAGCAATCAAAGCGTTCCAAGAAACTGAATCCAGACAAGGCATAGTTAAAAACACCTGTCGAGCTTCGTTAACAACCCCGCATTTCGCATACATTGTAATAAGGGCGTTTCCAGCAGAGATGCTCGAGGCAAACCCTACTTTAACCAATTGAGCATGGAATTGCTGCCCGTTGCAATACGCTCCCAGCACAGCACATGACTTTATCGCCCCAGAGAACGCGTAATCGCAAGGTTCACAACCTTCTTTCCTCATACAAGAAAAAAGCTTCAAACCTTCTTCCCCAGACCCGTTTTCAGCTAACCCTGAAATCATTATCATCCAGGTCAGGATATTCTTCTCTTTCATATCTTTGAAAAGCAACTTCGCCTCATCTATGTGCCCCGAACTAACATACCCTGATAACAATGCGTTCCAAGAAACCAAGTCCTTTGCTGGCATTTTATCGAAAATGGCTCTTGCCTCATCAAATTTACCGCATTTGTAGTATAATGAAACCAAAGAATTGTCAAGATGAAAGGAGAAATCCTCCCTTCTTAATACATAAGCATGAACTTGCTTCCCCAGCTGAAGCAATCCAGCAGTAGCACACGCCCTTAAAACGCTAGGATATGTAAATTCGTCTAGCTCAATTCCAGATGAAACCATCCGTCTAACCATCTCCAATGCCTCTTGATACAACCCGCGATGAACATAACCAGAAATCATAGCATTATAAGCAACCAGCTTCATATTCTCGTCCATCCCTTCAAGCAACTCTTTCCCTAAATCGAAACAACCGTTCTTTACATAACCTGTAATCATAGTCGTCCAAGACCTCTCATCTTTCTCAGGGATCTCATCAAACACTTTTCTAGCTGAATGTAACAGAGAAGACGAACTAGACAAAGGCGAAGAAGCACATTTCGAATACACAGACACGAGAGCGTTCAAAACCGAAGTGATGTAACCAGCGCCAGATTTCAAAGCTGCAGCATGAAACTGCACACAGTGCTTCTCCTCTTCGACAAATATCGCCAATCCGGCAAGAACACTCGCGAAAGTGAAGTAATCCGGTTTGAATCCTTCTTGCTTCATCTTACAAAACAAGTTAACTGCAGAGTAGCCATCATTGTTGTGCGTGAAGCCAGTGATCATGGCGTTGTACATTACAGTATCTCGTATGCTCACAGGAGTCTCCTCGAAAACCAAGCGAGCGAGGGTAATGTCCCCGGAAGCACAATAGCCGGAAACCATGGTGGTTCTGACGACTTTATCTGGTTCGGAGATTTCGTCGAACAGTTGGCGTGCATAATGGAGCCCTGACGATTTACAGTAAACATCAATCAAACGATTGAGGATATGGGCACGTGGCTGGAAGCCGAAAGTAATGATATTGGCATGGACGGCTCGCGCGAGTTGCAGAGACGTTCGTCTGATCGGCAAACACAGGCGGAGATTCGCGGCGTAGCGGTTGGCGATGGCTCGGACAAGATCTGGATTCGGTTGCATTTCATGTTTGTGGTTCGGTTCGGTTCGATTTTCTTACTTACATACCATTCTCTCTTTTTTTTTTTAAATCAGCCATCTTCGGTTTAAAGTAAACCAAAGAGTTTAAAGATTTGATAAAACCGGAGAAATAATCAACGTCTCGTCCACAGCATTAAACCCTAGAGGTGGTCGTCTCCTTCCCTTTCTCAGTTTCTGTAACTTTGTCAGTGTTCGTCGCCATGGTTCTCAAAGATGATAACTCGGAGAAATCTGTGAAGCTCTTCCTAAGCATTGGTTTGGAAGAGAAAACCGCGCGTAATACCGTCAACAACCCTAAAGTCACCTCAAATCTCACCGCCGTTATCTACGAGGTGTCGACTCTCCTCCTTCTTTCCTCCTTACTGATGTAATCTGGGTTTGATATTGGCTCTTATTGTGTCTGATGAAATTGGATAAAGGATCAATTTCGATAATTTGTTGACTAAATCCAAATCTCCCATATTCGAGATACTTAGTTTGATGATTTGGTCTTCTTGCATGTATGTATCTGTTGTGATTTGGTCTCTTACCTGATCAATTGGATTATCTTTTCATGAGGCTTGTCTTGTGTACAGGCTGGTGTCACCGATGGTTGCGATCGAACTACTGGAAATCTCTTGTACTCGGTGAGATAGATTCCGATTCCGATTATTCTATTTCCTTTTTTGTAGTAAGCAACTGGAAGTTATGTTTTCTTGAATATTTGTCAAGAATCTTATCTAGGTTATATTCTCCTTGCAATTGTGTGCAACAGGTCGCTACTACGTACCCTGCAAATGCTCTTGTGCATCGTCCTGTATTGCTCAAGTACATTGTCTCCTCTAAGGTTAGCATCTGGCTCCTGTATTGACTGTCTTAGCAGCTGGAATTTTATCTGCTAGAGCTTCGCTATCTTTGATTTGGCTAAAGTTTTTCTGATTTTCCTTGTATAATGAAACTGCAGATTAAAACTCCAGCCCAGTTGGATGCTGCACTCTTGTTTTTTGCCAATACCGGTTCTGAGGACTTCAAGCAAAATGAATTTGAAGAGGCATGCGGTGTTGGTAAGATTTTTGTGTATCTAACTATGAGCATGGATTTTTTTTCTGTCTGTAAAGCCAATGTTTCTAGGGTTTCTGGTTTTTTTTTTTATTAACACAATGCTTTGAGGTTACAATTTGCTCTGTTTTCCATGGATTTGGAGATGAGATTGTTATTATCGATTTGCAACAGGGATTGAAGTTTCCCCTGAGGATATTGAGAAAGCAGTTAAAGATATATTTGAAGAGAATAAGAAAAAAATATTGGAGCAGCGCTATCGAACTAATGGTTAGTGTTTGCTCTTTATCTCATTGTCGAAGGCTGCCTGTTTTCTTTGAGTCATATCTACCATTGCTATTTGTTTCTACTTTTTTTTTTTAAACATAACCAGGTGATTATGTTTCTTCGTGAATGACATATTTATCTTGTGTAGTGGGTATATTATTTGGACAAGTCCGGAAAAGTTTGCCATGGGCAGATCCTAAAATTGTAAAGGTGAGTTAACAGTTTTAGCAGCCTCTTCTTTGCTAGTCACAAGGGAAATTGCAGTGTTCTTATCCATTCTTATGTCTGCAATAGAAAGTCATAGATGAAAAAATGTATGAACTGCTTGGTGAGAGAACCGCTGCTGATAATGAAAAACCTACAAAGAATAAGGAGAAAAAGGAGAAGCCTGCCAAAGTTGAGGTAATTGGAGGTTTCATTTGAATGTGTTTTCTATTGTGTATGTTGTGACCTTAATTTCTTCATCTTTCTGTGGCGTATCTTTAGGAAAAGAAAGCTGCTGTGGAAGCTACCCCAGAGCCATCTGAAGAGGAGCTTAATCCATATTCTATATTCCCTCAGCCAGAGCAAAATTTTATGGTAACATCTGCTTTAAGTTTGTTTCTGGTAATTTATATATTGAGATTTTCATGTCTACATTCTACACATCTCAATCGTCTTCCATTGATAATCATACATCTAGCTGTTTTTTGAGTGATAGCAATAGTATAATAAATATGATCTGTATTGCTTTCCTTTCTATTGTGGCGATGTGGAACAAAATTCTTATACGATGTTGAATGACAATACTAGCTCCTGTGAAACTTGACAATTGGCAAAAAGATAGCTTTATGAAGCAAGATGATGCCAACGTGTTTGATGTGAAATTTTCATTTTTTTTTTTGGGGTGAATTCGTAGCTAGCATTTTTAATGTTACATATGCTTATGGAGATTCGTTCGTAGCATTTAAGTTAGTCTTAATTTATATTCTCAGGTTCACACAGAAGTGTTTTTCAGTGACGGCTCCGTGCTCAGATGTAGCAATACAAAGGAAGTGCTTGACAAACATCTCAAGGTGACTGGAGGGAAAGTATATACCCGGTTCCCTCCTGAGCCAAATGGTTATCTACATATTGGACATGCCAAGGTAAAAAATACATGATATGAAGTTTTGAGATACTTTGCATGGTGTATGATTGGTAGGGGATACGCTTTTATGTTCATTTCTAATGCTTGTACTTTCAGGCTATGTTTGTTGATTTTGGTCTTGCAAAGGAGCGAGGTGGGTGCTGTTATCTCAGGTAAAAATTCCTGCTTGTTTTTAATTGGGTTTCTTCCATCTTTGATTTTCTATAGCAATCCTTGTTTCTTCTGTAAGGACAATGTTCAGCATTCCTTGAAAATCTGATTTTCAGGTATGATGATACAAATCCTGAGGCAGAGAAGAAAGAGTATATTGATCACATCGAAGAAATTGTGAAATGGATGGGTTGGGAACCCTTCAAGGTATTGTCATGTGTTTTGCACGAAAAGGTTATTGTTATTGTTATTATTAATGTGTGTACATTCATCTGACACGTACCATTCTTTTATTCTAGATTACATACACTAGTGATTATTTCCAAGAATTGTATGACTTGGCAGTGGAGTTGATTCGGAGGGGTCATGCTTATGTTGATCATCAGGTTGAACCAATTTAAACTTTCTGATATTTGGTTTCGTGTTGATTTTGCTATTAATTGTCATGCCTTAGTTCTAAGCTGTACCACAACTTACTCCACACATAATACTTATCCTATTCTATACTTTCAGACTGCTGAGGAGATAAAAGAGTACAGAGAGAAGAAAATGAACAGCCCCTGGAGGGACAGACCTATTGAAGAATCTCTCAAACTTTTTGACGAAATGAGACGAGGAATGATTGAGGAAGGGAAGGCAACACTTAGAATGAAGCAAGATATGCAGAGTGATAATTTTAATATGTATGACCTTATTGCATATCGCATAAAGGCAAGTGAAACTAAAATTATCTCAGGTTACATGTCGGGAATATGCTCTCTCTCATCTTTGTCTGTCTGACTGTTTATATGCTTTGCAGTTCACACCTCATCCTCATGCTGGTGACAAATGGTGTATCTATCCAAGCTATGATTATGCCCACTGCACTGTTGATTCTCTTGAGAATATAACACATTCGGTTTGTCCCTTTTTATTTCTTTTCGCTATTCGCAGTATGAGTTAATATTATTGCAATGCTGCATTTGGTGGTGACCCACTATTAACTTTCAGTACTAGAAATCCCTTCTGTATCTAAAGCATCTGTTTTTCTAACAACTATTTATGTGGTTCTGACATTTTCTTTTTATCTGGCATAATTGTAGCTCTGTACTCTGGAATTTGAAACCCGGCGTGCTTCCTACTATTGGTTATTACATTCCCTGGGTCTGTACAAGCCATATGTGTGGGAATATTCACGGTTGAATGTCACAAACACTGTAATGTCTAAGCGTAAGGTTGGTAAAATACTTAACTTGCATGTAAACAACTTCAAACATTTTTTTTTTTTCGCAGAGAATCATGCTGGTTGTAACATTTTCTTTTCTTTTGTTGCAGTTGAATTTCATTGTGACAAACAAGTATGTTGATGGTTGGGATGATCCACGTCTTTTGACACTAGCTGGTTTGAGGCGGAGGGGTGTAACTTCAACTGCAATTAATGCATTTGTACGAGGAATTGGAATTACTAGAAGGTTTGCTATATATCTGAATTCACATCATACTATTTGGCATATATCAATTTTTTTTATTTAAATTTTCTATCGATTGTTCTATGTTTGAAGTGATGGTAGCATGATACATGTGAGTCGTCTTGAGCATCATATTAGAGAGGAATTGAATAAAACGGCTCCTCGCACCATGGTGGTGCTTAATCCTCTTAAGGTGGTCATCACCAATTTGGAATCAGACAAGGTTATAGAGCTTGAGGCCAAAAGGTGGCCTGATGCTCAGAACGATGATTCCACGGCATTCTACAAGGTGAACTGTGTTTCACATATACGAGTTTTTTTACACAATGGAACATTTTTCTGTTTTCTTGATCTTTTTTCCTGGGGGTTCTTGATCTAGGTTCCGTTCTCTAGAGTTGTATACATTGAGCAATCTGACTTCCGAATGGAGGATTCAAAAAATTATTATGGGCTTGCCCCTGGTAAATCAGTCTTGCTAAGGTATCGAAGGGGACTCTTATCTATTCCACCATTACTACTTTGGCGTTTGAACTAAAATTATATGCTACTAAACATGCTTCCTGCTGTTTGCAGATACGGTTTCCCAATCAAGTGCACCAATGCTGTCTTTGGTGATGACAATGAAACCGTCCGCGAAATTCATGCAGAGTATGACCTTGAGAAAAAGACAAAGCCAAAGGTTCTCTTCTTGAAAACCATCTTTATAATTTCTGCAACTGTGTGGCTCTTCCTAACCGTTAACATTTTCTGCAGGGGGTTCTACACTGGGTTGCTGAATCTTCACCAGGAAAAGAGCCCATAAAGGTTGAAGTCCGGTTATTTGAGAAGCTCTTCAACTCCGAGGTAGCTATTATTCTCTAGCTTTTGTTGTAGTTACAAACATTTTTCCCGGAGCTAAATTGTCTTTAATCCTAACAGAACCCGGCTGAACTCAATGATGATTGGCTGACTGACCTTAACCCGAACTCCAAAGTTGTGGTTTCTGATGCCTATGCTGTATCAATCCTTAAAGATGCTGCTGTCGGGGACAGATTCCAGTTCGAGAGGCTAGGTATTTTCTGTTTCATAAGCAATTCTAGATGAGCAACAAGTTGTAATTTCTATATTTTTGTTCGAAACCAACAGTATGAGACAAGTGTTTTAACCAAAACTTGTGATGCATTAGGTTACTTTGCGGTGGACAAGGACTCTGTGCCAGGAAAGCTTGTTTTTAACCGGACGGTCACACTCAGAGACAGCTACGGGAAAGCTGGGAAGTAAAAACACTCCACCCATATTAACACTTTGTTGGTCAAAACTTTATGTAACAGTAAATGAAAACTTTGGTTTGATACGCACGTTGTTCAACAGTTATGATTTGGTTTCTTGAACATGTTTGTTTCTAAGTGAGTGAGTGGTCAAAGAAAAGTTTCAAAATTTGAAAAGAAAAGGTTTCATCTTGACTCTTGAGATAACAGATGTCGATATTAAAAAGATGTCGAAACCTCTCTGCGAGATGGGAACATAGAGAGAGAGTTTAGTATGTTTAGACATGTGATTTTCTGATTTAGTGAAAATCGAAAAGCAGTGTTTTGATGGGATTGTGATAGGTTTCAACGTGCGCTGGTTCTCCTTCTCCTCATGCACATCATTCAATTTCATCATCCTCTACACCACACTAAAAAGGCTTGAAACTGGTTCTGATTATTACACAGAATAAAAAAGTTGTAAAGGAAAACAGGTGGAACATTAAGGATTAAGGAACAAGGTGCTTCCACACGAGTAGGACAACTTTAAGATTCCATCACTTTTCTCTTTGTATATCAAATATGCTTCGGAGATAAAAATTGATTTTGGACAAAGACCCCACTTGGTAAATGCTCTTGTTACTTATTACCTCTTACAAATAATGCCTTGCGGGTATCTATTTGTCCGGCCATTCCTTTTTACTTGTAAAGATTGAATATGAGAAATACATTTCATAATTGTCATTACTTGTAAAGATTGAATCAGATAATTACGCTATCCCAAATCAGACTTACAAATATCCAACTAACGAATTTTGCAATACTTGAAATAACAATTTTGCCTACATCTTTTTTTTTTTTTTTGAAATAATCATGTGTTCGTCCGATTAAATTAAAATTATAGCTAGAGTATGTATATGGAAGTCCAAAATTCCGTGATTATGGTTTTTTACTCGAGATGTGATTTGATGCCAAGAAGTTACTGTTCCATGAACCAGACAGCTTAGTATTTATTTGAGTAAGGTGATTCGTATGTTGATAACTAATTTAGAACATCATTTCATTGGTCAATAAGTTTGACTGATTACTATTCCAGCAAGAAAAAACGACTCTCCAATCGAACAACTTTGACCATCTAACAGTTTACATTGGCCAATGTTTCTCCAATTTCCATGTTTGTTGGATTGCCCGAAATATACGGTCGTCATTTTGTAGTAGACTACAATTTCGGTGAAGATGAAGATGTAAGTATAATTTTATGCAAAGGAAATATTGACAAAGTAAACAGGTTTCTATATCACGTTTTTGTGTGTGTCTGATTGCGACAAAATTTAATTAGTGGTTAAGACTCGCCCTTTCGATTTTTATTCACAAACTTTTCATCCTTCGTGTGCAGATTAGAAAAATGAAAAACGATCAAATAAAAATTATTAGCAGCTAACGAGTTTCTATAGAAGAATAATATACAGACATGTCCGTCCCAAAAATAAAACGGCTTAATATGAAGTGAATTTTTTGTTTTTACCATTCAAAATCTATGCTTATGTTCTAGCTTCGTTTACATTGCTGCTATTTTTCTCAAAATTTA